GTAGTGCATTGACATTTTCTCTGTGCCAACACTGGGTGAAGCACACCACGTACATTGTAGTATTTACTCCAAGATGTAGGTACTATTAGACCTGTTTCACAGGTTAGGGTTGGGTTAAGTGGCTAGTTCAATAGCACATACCTTATAAGTAGTATTAGGAGGTAAAAGTTCTGACCAATTAGCATAGGCTTGTGGCAATGGGAAGGAAAGGCAAGCTCTTCTCACCTTATCGCTGTTAATGATTGTCAGGGTGACCTCAAAAGCCTTTCAGAACAAGGCTTGGTAGAAATGAATAAAACAGGAAAGACAGCATTGCCTCAGTCCACAGGCATCCAGACATCCTTGATTTACCACACTTTGTGTATCCATTCTTAACACTTTCTTGACTCAGAGGTCTGTACCTCTCACCAGCTAGAATGGTGTAGACACCAAATTGCATCCTTTTCATCCTCTACAGCTTTTCACCTCCTTCATGAAGACTTCCCATACTGAATCCTTTCCCTCCCTCCCTCTGGGTACCATCCTCCAGCATCCTTCCAATCATCAATGATACCCCAGCAGTCTTCACTTTAGGCCTACACTTCCCCTATTAATTATGTTTGTTCTGTTTCAGTCCCTTACACATGCCGTTGGGTTGTGAGCTTCTGGAAGACAAAAGTGTCCTTGCGTTGACAGAATGACATATTGCAAAGCATCCTTTGGGTAGGAGTCAGGACACTAGACTTGTGTGAACTGTGAGAATACAGCTGAGCTCAGGGCCTCACTCTCCTTCTCTGTAAAATCTGTAGGTTAGTCTAGATTCATTTTCAGGTCTTTGGAGTAGTCAAATGGAAGGCTGTGGTTACTTTCATTCCTCCTCACCCACAGGGCTCTGCACAGGGGGACCCGGAATAATTCTGTAGACCAAAAAGTCAGCCACGGGTTTCCAGGTATTTTTTGGGAGATGGAAAGGTGATGACAGTTTGAAAGATGTACTTTCATGGTTGAAGCTACCAAAACTGCTCCTACCCGTCTAGTTCTTTACTGTGCAGAAAGATTTGCCATTGTCTTAAATACATTATCTGTTCTGATGGTCAAAATGCACCTCCTGCCTCAAGGTCACTTTTACAAATGTCCTGCTCCGGCACCCACCCCAGTGCCTCTCTCCACCACTCCCTGTCTTGCTTTGTTCCTGCCTCATGGCAACTGCTGTTGGTCAGACAGATGCCCCTGTTATCTTCTAACTGGACTTCTTAAATGTAGGGATGGTTCCCTTCGAACTCCCTCGGTGCTTTTGACCTAATCGGCACTCAGCAATAAATTCAGTGATGAGTGAACCACGTACGATTCACTATTTAGACCATCCAATTTGTAGCTGTAGATCTCCCCTCATTCGCTTTCAGTTCCTACCCATCTTCTCTTTCCTGTTCAATACCTGTCCTCACAGAGGGAGGAATTTTTGAGAGAAGGCAATAAATGGGAAGAATTGTAAAAGGCGGGTCAGTTGATTTTTTATTGTAGTTCAGTTGGGCAGTGATTCACTTCGATAAGATTCCCAGACCATACGATGCTGTACAGACTCCAACAATGCTGCCTGTGCCAGCACTCAAAGTGAGCTAGACTACAGCAAAAAGAGGATCCTGGATTGGATTCCAGAACAGAAAAAGGATACGAGTGGAAAACTGGTGAAATTCAATTAAAGTACAGTCAGCCCTCTGTATCCGTGGATGCTGAACCCGTGGATACAGAGGGCCGACTGTACTCTGTATTTCATATAAAGAACTTGAGCACCCACGGATTTGGGTATCCACAGGGCCTCCTGGAACTAATCCCCAGCGGATATCCAGGGATGACTGCACCAATGTTAATTTCTTGGTTTTGACAAATGTACCATGGTTATGCAACATTTTACCCTTAGGGGAAACTTGGTGAAGGGTATATGGGAAGGCTGTATATTATCTTTGCAACTGTTCTGTAAATCTAAAATTATTCCAGAATAGGAAGTTTATTTTAGAAAAAGTGGGTCAGAGTGCACATTTTAGTTTGGCTAGCAGTCTCTGACTGCATGGACATTCTCACTAGTTATAGCTGAACAATTCGTAGAATAAGGTTGAAAATTAGAACTGCAGAGAAGTTCAGAAATGCTCCTGTAAAAAAAAAAAAAAAAATCCATGAAAAGGCAGTAGCAAAGATAAAAGCAAAACAAACAAAAAAAGGAAACGGAATAAGGGGGGGGGGGGGGGGGGGGGCAGGATCATGTTAAAATGTGGAGTCAGACCTGTCACTTGGGGGAGGTGGCCAGTACAGGGAGTACTGGGCAGTCAGGATACTGGCTATGTGTTTTAGCTCTGAGGGCTGGAGCACGTCACTTGGCCTTCACTTCCTCTCCTTGAAAATGGCCTCACCCAACTCACAGATCAAGATTATGTAAAGTAAAAGAATTCCTCACAAAAATCAAGTTGTCCTATTCTTCAAAATTTGGTCATTTTGGCTCAAGAACAAGAGTTCCTCACCCGTGGGCTGGTCACCATCAGAAACCTCAAGCCGGTAGGCCTGATTCCACAGGAGCATTTTCACTTTGCACTTGGCAAGTTTCTGCTTCCTCTTACAAGGCTGTTTGTTCAGGCCAACGCCAGAGCCATTTGACTTCTAAACATAGCGTAACAGATGTGAATGAGGATTGCATTATTTTTGGTGTTACACAAAGGGTCTTTCTTTTACCCAGAAAGGCCAGACACCAGTCCAGTTCTGGTGAGGCACAGCCATCTCGGTCAAGGTAAATGGGCTTGCTCTAGTTTTTCAAGCCCTGTAGCTTTAGTTACGGTATACTGGATCTTCTTAACCCAGGATCTATGAACAAGCATCTCAAGTGTCTACGCCTAGACTCGAGGTTTATCAGCTCCTTAAAGTTGTATGTGACATGTCCTTTTTTTTTTGTATGGAGTGGGTTCGTTTCTCTTCAAAGGGTCCACAACCCAAAAATGCTAAGAAGCCCTGCTTTAGAGATACATCTTCCATAGCAAACCCCCTAAACTATGACACTTGCTGTATTTAGGTACAGTAACGGCTGGCTGCCTGATTTGACTGTTTGGAACCCATAGAAGCCACTGCACTTCGAGGGCTGCAACTTGAGGCACACACGCTTGTAACTAGTGTTTTCTCCCAGCTGTGGCATTGAGTCTTCCTTTCCTGAAGACTTGAGGATTTTTGCTTAAGGCCACATTTGTTCAACAAACCTTCCCAATGTAAAGAATCCTTCAGGAATACCAAGGTGACTTTGGTTCTTCTTGCCCTTCTAGTCCTTTCCAAACTGACTAGCTTCTTTATAACCAAGCCATGACCAGTGAGCATGTAGCCTTGTAATTAGTTTGAAGGAGGAGCATGGCTTGTTGAGTACGAGACCTTCTGGCTGGCAAAGCATTAACGGGCCCAAGTGCAATTTAAATGTATGATCCTGGGGTGATGTGAATATGAGAAACAGACTAGCTCTTTTTCTTGTTTGCATGCTTTCAAGTGGCTTACAAATGAATGTTTTAGGCTGTTAGTCAAGAGAAAGGTGGTTTATAATTAAAGCCTAGTACAAAAACTTCACTGGGTCTTCTATGAATGGATTCAATTATAAGGCTAAAAACGATTGCCTGTTTCAGCTCCTTTGGATGATCTTTCGTTTCTAACATTATTGGGATCTTCATAACTTTTGGATAGTACTTTAGTTTCTCCAGCGATTTAACTTCCCTTTGAAAAATGCACCAAAGTTAGAGTTTCATGTTTAATGCGGTCCTTTTAAATAAAACATAATGTTAATAGACTAGATAAGAGACACTGAAGTGGTGCCCAAGCTCATTTTTCCCCTTTTCAGTCATAGTGAGATGATCAAATATAATACTAAAAGGCTAAATGCTTGGGGCTATTTTATCTATATTTAAAACACACAGTAAGAACATAAGAACATCTCAAATCATTTAGAAGGAAAAAGGGCTTATCAACCAAAATCTTTGGAAATTTCATAAAATTTAAATGTCTGCAAACAATCCAACCAAAAAGAAAAAAAAAAAAAAAAAACCCAACATTTGGCTAATGGAGGGCATTTCACATGTGACCCAAATGGCGTTATCACATTTTCCTTCAGGTAAACTTGTCACTAAACCCCATTAGAAAGAGTACAAGAGCGATATGAAGACATCCCCAAATACCACGTACTGGATTTAGAACATTCTGTGATGAAGCGCTTATCTAACCACGGGCTTTCTTTCCATTGCATACATTACTTTACATTTCTAAAATGCAATGTTGAAACAGCCTCCAAGTTTTGCAAAGGAGATTGATGTCCACTCTACAAAAGTATTAACTTACAGTACATAACACTGAATAATTTTAATCTGTACATTTTTCCCCTCCCATCATAGGTGACACGCATCAGTGGTACAAGTTCGAAAAAAGCCCATCTGGTTGTTTACACCTGGATTAATAGTCAACAGAGTCAACCAGAAGTAGTGGGCTGGGTAGAGTTTGAGAAACGATCAATACAGTGGAATATTAATTGTGGTTAACAATAGGCAGCTCTTCACAAAGCGATACAATAGATTTTTGACTGAAAAGATCTAGCTGAGGAGGTTCTGCCAATCGACCAACTGATCCAGAAGTTTAAGGCTGACTTGACTTAAGCAAACTGCAGCCCAGCCGAAAACACTGGCAACAATGGCGCAGTTCAAAGCTCTTCAAATGCATAGCTTCCGTGTTACATTAATTAGATTCCTTCAATTAATTAATCCTCTAGACAGTTTTCTTTTTGTTTTGCATGCATCTCGTTCCATTTTCATTAAGGGCATCTCTTCCTTGGTCAGTCATGTGCTTTGCTTTTTCAATTTGTTTTTGTGGGGTTTTTTGTTTGGGTATGTTTTGTTTGTTAAGCTGTCAATATCTCCAACACTTGCAAAATGAAATCTAGAGGCGGTTTTACTTACAGCAGAGAAGCAGAGCTATATGGACAATGCAAAATGAAATGAAACAAGTGTCAGAAACAGTTTATAAAAATGGCACATTTATTGCTACAGAACGGTCATGTACATGACTTCATCGAATAACTACAGATGGGAAACAGGTAATGGCCTAGACCAAGCTGGGTTTATTTTTGTCTTGAAGGAACTCCAGCACACAACCTGTTTAGACACTTCTACAAATCAGAAATACACCAAAAACATGAAAAAATCGAGGCACTCAGCCACACATTGAAAACAAGGTGTAACTGTTTATCTTTTTTTTCTTTTTTTTCAATGTTTTCCCTTTTTTTCTTTTTTTAACAATTTTTTTTTTAGTTTTTAATGCTGCAGCTATGTGTACAGTCGCAAAAAATTTCCCCGCTGCGACCTACAACTAAAAAAAAAAAACAAAAACAAAACAAAAAACAAAACAAAACAAACAAAAAAGCTACCATACAGTTTCATCTCAGTAACACATGGCAAAATAACATCTTTTAAATAGTAAAATAAAGTAACAAACTTTTACTCATAATGATTCCAAAAATCTACAAAGAAGAAATATTCAGAATCTGACAATTTTTTTTGTAATATTCATGGTATAAAAGGATTGCTCCTGCGAAAAATAAGCCAAATATATTTTTTATTTTTAAATTTAGTTTTTTTCCTACTAGGGTGTACTACAGTCTATTTTATAGCAAAAAGAGCACTAGACAAACAAAGCTTTATAACAAAAAGCCAGGCACTGATACATGGTAAATCTCTGCTTTTTTTTTTCTTATCTTCACTTAATTGCATCACAAGTAACAAGAATGAAAAAGGCCACAGTTCATATATTTTCACCATTACATATGTCTATAATACTTGAAATGAGTATGGCAAAACCAGCACTGCACAAAGATGAGTCCACTTCAAGTCCCATGAGAGAGAGCATGTCTCTAAAGAAAAACAAACAGAACCAAAGCAAAATAAAAAGAGAGGCCTAAAGGCCTTGGTGCCCCATTGTGTTGGAATTCCTCATATTCCATCTTGACTTTTTTTTTTTTGTTTCCAGTCAGCCAGCAGACTAAATTTTTGTGCTTGTTTATGCTGAAATCGTTTCATTCCTGACTCAAGTTCACTTTTGGACACAGATCATATTCTGCCTGTTGGATCCAAAACGAAAATCCTCTTAACCCCAAGTCTTGGTTCAACACCCTCCCTCCACCCCCCTCCCCCCCCCCCATTCCCTCATCAAAATAAAGATCAAAAATTAAAAAAAAAAAAAAAAATCAAGAAATAGGAAAAAGCGAAAAACGAAAAGGAATCGGAAGACTGAATCAGAACCAGTTGCGTTACTGGGTGGACTGACAGTTGTATAAACATTAGTGTTCCTTGCAGCTACACAGAAGACAAATGGGAAAAAATGTCTAGATGAACAGATCCCTAGTCTGCATATTCATAAATTACTTGAATGTGGAGGTGGATCAACTGTTCCAAGCTGCTTTTAAAGTCCAAGTCTCTTAAGCAGATCCCCAGCCTAAGTATCATCATATACATAGTGTAGTATGGACCCTTAGGAAATTTCTGTAGAGTACGTTAATCCTAACTGTCTTCTGCTAAATTGCATTAGAAAATACAGCGCAGGATACCAATATCTTACCTGGGTTTGATAATTACAAAAGAACAAGAAAACAAAAACACACTACAAAGGCCACATTCCCTTTCATCTTTTTTTTTTTTTTTCCTTTTTAATGGGGATACAACCCAATGAATATGGATAGGTGCAGATGTTTCTCCACCAAGCAAAAAGTAGTGAGCAGCTTTTGGTGGCCGTTAGAAAGTTTTTCGCTTATTTCCAAAGGGAATTCCACAATAGAGGTATTACATGACTGATCAATGAATGCATCAAAGCTGGTGAACACTAGATTGCAGCTTTTACTCTGTTTGACTGAGAACAAAATATAAAAGCACCAATTTAAAAAATAATCCAAGAACTACGATTTAATTGTTTTTTGCTTTGTTTACAGATTTGAAAAACTTTAAATCAGCTCTATGAAAGCACCTTGATGATAACGTGTATCAAAAGTGCCAATCTTAAAATGTACATCAATGCAGGGAGTGTTTCCAGTTCCCTAAAGAGTAAACACCATATTTTCTTCTATACACTTATCCTGAATGTGATCAGAGGATACCTGCTTCTTATATAATATTGTTCCTAGGGATACCCGCCTTGATAGAGTATACAAAATGAGTGCAGACTGTACCACTAAAAGGAAATCTTCAACATACTGAGGGTACAAGTACACACAGTTTCCATTATTCAGGAGGAGGGGAGAGTATACAATATTGTCTTCCATGCCCTTCTTTGAGCCCCTTTGTTCATTCATTTTCACAGGGTAGCCTCCAAATAACTTTTCATGAAGTCTGATTTCTGCTATTCTAAGGTTTTAATCCACCTCCACATTTTAGGAACTTATCAACAAATCAAACAAAGTATTTTAGTTTTATCACTACTGAACATATTTACAGTTTTCAACACACACACAGCTAATCAAAATGTTTATGGGTTTGTAAAAGATGACCACGTGGTAACTATCTTATTTGTTCTTACATTTTCAGAAATGAACATAAAATTCAGATTCTTGTAGCTCACTATTTCATTTCAATGAGACGGTTTTTAAACCACACCGTTTAAAAAAAAAAAGGAACAAAAACCGATACAATGTATTAAAACACATAATAACAAGAGTCTACATGTAAAAATATAACTTTTACATACACAATTTCAAAATAATGATACGTTTGCCATTTGTTGCATAAAATTTACAAATGTATTTCATTACTATATAACTGGCAAAACAGGAGAACAGATGGAACATTTAGACCATTTCGATGGGTTTATGGCATTTACTCAGTGCTGATAGGTGGAAAAACTACTTGAACAAGGGATTTTTTTTCTTAATACATGCCAAGATTGTGTGGCTGTAAAAACAGAAATGAGTTAGAGACAAAAGGATGCTGACAAATACTTAACTAGGAGCACTATTTCTTTACTGCACTATACACCAAAGTCAATCATTATAAAGATTCACGATGGAAGTTGGTTCAATTGTGCCCAGACGTCAAAGCTAGCTATCTGATGAGTTGCTGTGCCATAGCTTGATCTATGTTTCTATCAAATACGTTAAGTATAAACTTCATTCATACTGGCCAGAGAAATACTGCACTACCCCTCCTCAAGAAAGTGCAACTTAATGCTTTAGGACTTATAAGGCTTGTTATAACGCTGCATGATGATTGAATATTGGCATTTTTTTTTTCAGACGAAGGAGGAGACAGTTAAGTCATCTGCATCTTAGTAAACCCATTTTGAAAAAAAAATCAAGAAAGCAACAAAATCAATCAGCTCTGTCACACTACTTGCAATTTTCTCATTGGATGGTCGTTGAACTTCACTTGTTTTTTTTGTTTTTGTTTTTTTCCAAAAATCTGACCATGTATTCAGAAACACCTCACTGCACACTACTTCTGGCTACACATGTAGGTAACGCTTTAATCATTTTGTTAAATCACAGCCACTTTGATTATGTTATGTTTCCGATGATATAAACATTGGAAGGCACAGTGGTAACATTGTAGCATTCTAACCTTGTACCTCTGAAAATCCCAGAAGAGGGTCACAAACGCAACATTACAATTCAGACAAACTCTTTTTGCCATGTCTTGGTAATGCTGCTTGTTAATATCTACACATGATGTGACTTTTAAGTCCTGTGTTCCCAAAAGACTGAAGAAACAACTTTCTACTTATTTATGAATGAAAAGCAACATCAGGGTCAGCATTTCATCCTGCACTACCCCTCCGGAAGCAGAGTTGGCACTACAGGTTATGAGAACAAACCGGGGAAAGGGACAGAAATGAGACCAAAAAAAAAAAATCCGTATTTACAGTAAAATCTTTCTTTTAAAAAAGTTAATCAGTACTATTTTTTTACAGGAGAAAAAAGTCTGAAACAAATGAACAAAAGCTTACCATAGTCACTAAATTTTTAATATATATTTATATATATATTTATATATATATTTGTCATAGGTCTATAAGATCCATCTGTTCCTCCTACCCTAAGGAATGGCTAATGTCATCACTTCGCTGTCATCAGGATGTTTGCTGGTTTTGTTACGAGGGCAGCCGAGCTTCCCTTATTCGATATCCGGTAATTATAAACACTAGCTGACTTGAATACCAACAAAAATGGTCATGTAGTTTTCTTCAGAAGTACACTTTTTCATTATTGCAAGTTTACAATTTTTTTAAATTAAATATTTTTTTTTTCAGACTTACAAATTAATTATATATTTTTTTTTTTCCAAAAGAAGTTTAGGCACAAATGCATTGCTCCACAGTGTGGAAAGATTGCCATTCAGTCTCCGGGCTGCGTCTCAGCCTGCACATACTGCTTTGAACATTCTGAATGATATGTTAAAGAGAGTCATCCCCCAAGTTGCACTTTTTTTCTTTCTTTTTTTTTTTTTTTTTTTTTTTTTGGTTTTTTTTTCATTGGGAATGCTGAAACCTCTTGCGTCTGCGATTCATAACTACTCAGACTTGTCTTATATTACAAAAAAAGGGGTTAAGAACAAGTGTTTATGTGGGTTTAAGATAATACAGCTGTTAAGGAAGTGGTCTCTTGTATTAATGAAGCAATGTGGCAACTTGGACCTGAGAAAGAAGAGAGAAAGATGAATTAATACGGTTATAACAGAAAAAAGGAAAGCTTTTATTTTTAAACTTGTTTTTTTCTTCCCAAGGGGGAAAAAAAAGTCTGTGCATTTGGGTCAAATATGGCTTTCATGGCTGATGCCTTGGTAAGAGTAACAAAGGAGAGCTTTCAGAAATGGCTGAAAACAAACTTGCCCTTTTACATCTGTCCCATGTGATTGGACGCGTCTCCCATGCCGGGGTGAGGCCCCGCCAAGGAGAGCGGGGGCGGCTCCGAGGACACCTTCTCCTCTTCCCTTCTTTTCAGACATGCAGCTTTCGGATTCAGATTCCTTTCTGTGGAAGAGGAAAGCACAGAGCATTTAGGTCACACCCAGGGCTTCTGGTCCAGGGCAGTCATGCAACGTTTCTGTGGGGCTGTTGATCCTTCCTCTCAGTTTCTACCTTCCAGAACAAGAGGACCAGCTAGGAAAATGCACACGACTGTCATTCATTCGCTCAGTGGCTAGTAAAGGTCGAACTCCCTGGTGAAACTGTGCAGTCACTTTACAGTCTGAGAAAGTTGGTAAAGCAAACGTCCCCAGCTCCGGTTACTGAGAGGACCTATGGAAACGTCCTAAGGCAGCATCAGTTACAAGAACAATCCCAGGATTCAGTTACAGGGGAAAGGGGAGCTGCCTCATAGATTTAGATGAGATTGAAGCAATGATTCTGAAGGATGCCTAAGAGTCTACTCTCTGCCCCTGCTCAAGGCCGCCAGAGCATCTCTGCTCTCTCCAGCGGCGTGCGGCCGTGACCTCTGCGTGGAGGCCAGCCGGCCGGCACTGACCTCGGACTTGCTGCTCCAGGCTGAGGATGACGGCCACGGCCTGGTGGAGGATCAGAAGCTTGGTCTGGGGCTTGTCACTCTTGAGGTGCAGCTGCACCATGCGGCCCAGCTCCTTGAACGCCTCGTTGATGTCACGGACCCGCAGGCGCTCCCGGGCATTGTTAGCCATCCTCCTCTCCTTCTCCCGCTCCGCCTTTTGCTCCGGCGTCAGGTCTTCGTCATCGTTATTGCTGCGGGACAAAAGGGAAAACGTGACATTTTCCAATGGGGTGGGGAAAAAGACAGTTTCTAAATTCCTTTTGTTTTCTTTCTGAGTTTTCAGGGAACTCTTCCATCTCAGGATCTTGTCCTTGGCAGAATTTACCATCCACCTGGGCTTGGCGTTGCTTTAGGTGGCTGTGACAGTCGCTACGCCAGACGTTTGATGTCTCCTGGACATGAAACCCAAACCCAACAGGAGAGGTTCAAGTTGGGGCCCCGAGTGCACCATATGGATGGAGGGGAGCAAAAAGGAAAACATAGCTTCCATCCCTAAGGTTACGCACGGCAGAGCGCTGTCAACTTCAGCTCGAGCTACACTTCAGGACCGCGATTCAGAAAGTGTTTTAGACTGAAGCTGTTCTTTCTTAAAAAAAACTTTCATACTGTGACATCCGAAACCCAAGGAGAACCAGGGATTGAAAAATGATGTGGATAGGTCAAAATAAAGACGATGCAGCTCAAACAGGATTAAGAAGGTCCTACATTCAAGACAACAGAGCAATGGGAGTGAACACGGGGGCCTGCTGTCTATTAACCAGCTTGGAAGGCTTGGTCAGTCCACTTAATGTATCTGAGTCTCGCTTTTTCCATGTATTAAATAGAAAGGTTAGAGAAACATCATCTCCATGGCCTTTAACTTTATGGATGTTTATGATTCCCCAGACAAGTTGGGGAAACCTGAGTTGACATGAGTTCTAGGCAAACCCAACCCAACCCAACCCAACCCAAACACTTACTGGTTATCAATACCCATGATCTCATTGTGAGTCAAAAATGAAGCCCAAAAGGTCATCCCTGATTATGAGAACAGAGATATCACATGATTCATATCAAAGGCATGGTTGGAGCCAGGAGTCTGGAAAGGGAAGATAACTTCTGTTTCTGGGTGTCATGCTGACAAATTAGAAACTTTTGAATGGGGGGCAAATAGGATGATGAGCCACCTGGAAAGCATGTCATATCAGGAAGATCTCATGGCGTCAAGGCTTCAAATAATACCTGGGCAATCACGTAAAAGAGAGAGGTGTTGAAAATGTCTAAGGAAGGCAGAACAGAAGAGAGCAAAGAACCCTGAGCGGAACTAAATTAATTGCTGAATTAACAATGAATTAACATGAGCAAGAACCTTTTCTGAGTGTGAGAGATATAAAAAATGAAGTAAACTTCACTCAAAAGCAAGAGAGTCTTCACTGCAAGAAACAATAACGAGGTGGCCATCCGTAAGGATGTTAACCTAGAGATCTGAGCACTGACCCCAAAGACCATCAAGGTGAGCCTGTACTCTAAAGTTCCATGAATCTGAAAGGCTCACAGAATAAAGATGTTAATCGCAACCTTCCAGAGCTGGAGGAACACGTGGGAAGTTATCTACTCAATTCAATGCACACTTAGCGAGTATTGGCTTAAAATGTATAGCCTTCCACTGTGGAGAATGTCTGGGTAACTTCCAAATCGCACTAAGGATCCACTACGATGGAGAAGCCCCAATCAATCAGAAATGGAGCGGATTCTTGGGTTGTAGCACATGCTGCTCATAAAGATGACGTAAGTAAGCCAAGAACACTTATAAAGGAGGCAGACACCAAAGAAAGATGCTGTAAGACTTGGCTCGTCTTTCCTGTAGGTTAAGCTCCCTTCCAGATGGGACTGTCTGCCTCGAATGCGTGCTGGTGAACGCGCAACTAAACTGAACCCATCGGAAGGTGCTCTCTTTCTCCGCCATCTGATTCTCCTCCTCATTTCCTTGCTGGTCCCGCTCTCTCCCACCCGTGACCTCTGCTGATGCCAAGGAAATCAAGATTGCTATTAATTCACACCCACATTCTGACACACAGATAGGACGTAATAAGTGAAAAGAGAACAGAGTTGAGTTTCTGCTCATCCCATCCTGAAGTTAAAAATCTGGGTGATGTTTTTACGCATCAAACATATGCGACACCTTTTCCAAAGTGGGCCTGAAAATGGGAATTTGTTTTCCAAGGGTATTCAGGGCAATAATGAATGAGAATTGGTTAACCTCTTATAAATAAATTGGTTATGCGAAGAAAACTGCCTAGATTTGGAAAGTCTCGCCTTACAACACGGTTTTGGGGGCCTAAGTAAATGTCAAAACAGTGACCTTTTAAAAGAAGGTTCTTAACAGCGAGTTAAAATGTTGTACTGAAACATCAAAGAATCCATTGATATGCATGCGTTATGACCGCTAGTTAAATTACCAAGAGCTGACTGATCTAACAGAGAAGCTGGTAAGGATGTGAAAGGCCCTTCTTGGGATGTCTTACCAATGTGGCCAAGTCAGGAAACTCTGTAGCAACGGCGAAAAGCGGTAAGGTAGAAGCTTCCAGAATTTCTGAAACTGTGGTAGAACTTGTAATAAGATTTATCTCAATAACTATAAAGGCAATGTGAAAAGGCGGCATGTCCTTAATTCCTAAAGGACGCCAGGTATAACCTTGAGAACGAGAGCCTTGAAAAGGGAGGTATCGTCTTAGTACAATTCATTTAGTTTGCAAATAAAAACCATCCAAGGGAACTGAGGTAAAGAACATGGGTGTCACGATACTCAAAAAAAAAAACAAAAAAACAAAAAAACAAAAAACCCATCTGATTATCAGATTAAAGTTCAAGGAGATAGATTCTAGTTTAAAGATATCGGGGACTTAAGAAAACCAACCAGAAGCTATTTTCCTGAAGTTGCGTTTTCTGCCGAGAGAAAAAAAAATGAGCAATTTAGGTATTGCTCTTATACATACCAACATGTTTAGAATAAAGCTGGGAAATCAGTACTTTCTCACTTTTGAGGTAAGAAAAAAGTGACCGTTGCGCATACATCGATTGAGCTTTCAATAGAGCTAAGCTCTCTTTTTAGAAATATTTTCCAAAGAACATTTACGACCAAATTTGTAGAATAAGTATAGTTTTACAAATCGACTGCTTGCATTTGAATCAGTTACAAATTGTTTTTGCCGTGTGTCATTATTAGCACTGGGTCCAAATTCATAAATGCAAAGATATTTTTGGCTTTCCTAGAGCACAGGTATCTCAAACGATACTTTCGTACCTCTAGAGCAAAGCCTTTCACTTTCTTTTCAGCTGCAGATTTACCTGCCAGGAAAAAACTGAATAGTTTCTTCCTGTTCTGTTCACTTCATCAAAGTCCAATAAAGGAATTAAATGAAGCGACAGTATTATATACTGTTACCTAGATCTTGACCTAGTAATGGATTTGATATCCTTCTTGTCGTCATCTAATTTCTTGTCCTCGGAAGATTTCGTGTCTTGCAGGTTTTCATCGCCCTCGTCGTCGGATTTGATCTCAGAGCTGCCGGAGGAGACACTCTGGCCCTGCAGTCCTGGTGGCATGCCTGCAGAAAATAAAGAGACCAGGTGACACGGCCACCAAAGCCTCGAGGCACAGACACGCGCACCCCAGACTGGAGAGCTGCCAGCTATACAGTTCAGACCGCCGAGCTGTGTGATCTGTCCCTTTTTTCATGGTCTTTGGTGAAGTTTCAAAAATGCACCTGCAGAAACAAGTTTTCCCTGCATTGGCTCTGAGGTTAAATTCTATTTTGCAATCTTTTAGAGTAGACGGTAATTTCACTGTCTACAAAACATCAACTTAATTGCAATGAAAATCATAATCATGAAAATCACACACCGCAATGTTCTGATTAAGAACCCAAGTAAATATCGGCTATTATATTGAGCTTCTTCCATATGCAATGATTTAATAGAAAAATGTCCTTAAAATATAATTCCCAGGGAGTATATGCTAAATATGTACAGTCAAGACTTCAATAGCTACCCTAATGATATTCTGAAATTAGGCTCCTCTTATCCTCAAGGAGTAACCAGCATTTAAAAATGGTACCTATGGAAAGCAGTTACTGCTCAATGAAGACATTTCTAGCTCTATTACTGCTCAACTTTCCAAGATCACAATATATTTTAAAACGTGGCCCTAATGTAATCATTTATTTCTAAGCTAGAAGTGCGTCGATTTAGTGTTTCCTTCTATTTGTAATCTGTAGAGTCTAGAACTTTATCACTCAAACTCTCGTCAGTGGACCGGGAGCATCCTTATCCCCTGGGAGCCCATTAGAAATGCAGGACCCCAGGGGCTTCCCTGGTGGCGCAGCGGTTGAGAGTCCGCCTGCCGATGCAGGGGACGCGGGTTCGTGCCCCGGTCCGGGAGGATCCCACATGCCACGGAGCGGCTGGGCCCGTGAGCCATGGCCGCTGAGCCTGCGCGTCCGGAGCCTGTGCTCCGCAACGGGAGAGGCCACAACAGTGAGAGGCCCGCGTACCGCAAAAAAAACAAAAACAAAAAGAAAAATAAAAAAAAGAAAGGGCCATCAAAGTATTACTATTCAATTAAAAATGGCAGGCATACCCACATATATAATTCACACCCAAGATTCTTACAATGCTTAACAGGTGGGCAAATGCTTATACATATTATTCCTTCTTGTGCCACTGTTATCATTTTTATTCTCAACGTGAGGGGAATGAGGAGATGTTATGTAGGCATTTTCGGGTCACCTGGCCAGCCAGTCCGCACGAGGACCCTGGGACCCAGGTCTTGCCCCTGCGGCACAGCTACCTGGGGTCCTGGGAAGCCGAAAGGAGTCAGTGGTACGAGGCAATAAGGATGGGGCTTGATGACTCAAGAGCGAAAATCATCCCAGTTCCATGTTTGAAATGTACCTACATTTCCTTCCATCGTAAGCAACAAAAACCATTTCCTTCCTTCCTCTTCATTTGGAAACATCACTGTCAGGCTACAACTAACCACATTAAAGGATCTGAACGAGCACAGTGTGGAAATAGCTAAAGTCACATTTCCTCTCATCCGTCTGTGGTCTCATTCCCTGCGGAAATAGGAGCAGGGTTTCCGAGGATGCTGGAGCAAAACAGTTACTGAAGAAACACAATTAGCCAGCGACGTTTGAAATCCTTTCCCATTTACTTACCATCTTTGTATCAAAATGGATTCTTGGTGATCTGCCAGTGCTTCCTGAGGGATGAATGAGTAAGCATGGGATCCACAAGGGATCTATTGTTTCAGTGAGGTCAGAAGCGCCCGCGGAGGCGGACCTACCTCTGTAAGGGTCCTGGGGTGGGTTCAAATCAGGGGACGTTGCAGACTGGACAGGAAGCTGTGGAACTGGCACCTGGTTTGGGACAAGAGAATGGCTGCCCCTCAGGGCCACGCCATCTTCACGATGGGCCCCAACCTGAAAGGGCAAGAGGAACCGTAGAGTTTAGTGGGAATCAGAGGTGTGACGGCTACTTCCAGGGCAGCAAGGACCCAATGAAGGGAGACTAACCTTTGAAAAACAATACTCCCAAATGCATTTCACTAGAGGGCGCTAAAGGACCACGCATGCACCTAGAGTACCCAGCAAAAAACACTTTAACACTCAGTAAGATGCTGTGCTGTAACATCCAGTGACAAATATGGCAGAGTAGCTCAGGCAGGTAAAACGTCAAATTGTCTCCCAGGGTGCTGCAGTGGAGTGCACTGATTCGTACCCATCTGTCTTCTATCATGTCCGCCAACAGATCTGACAATTATCTTAATGCCCATATGCTTAATTGTGGTCTCCTCAATTCCCCCATTGCTATCGGAAATCCTACAGGAATTTCAATTTGGCATTCAACTTTCATTTCAGGGGATAAGATTCTCAGGCCTGCCATTTTTTTTTTTCCATAATGCCAGCTAAGCCACTGACAGCGGAAGCTACAGCAGTATGGGACATAGCCCCTGCTCGGTACAAGTATAATAAAATGTCACCTGGCTTTCCAAAACTGGCAGCCCATTCCAAATTAATGTTTACTGTATTTCGTCAGCTGCTGAGTTCCAAATCCAAAGGGGGACCGTTTCTGCCAATGCCACCATACCGGAAAATGTACCAATAAAGGTTTTATTAAACACGCCAGTAATGCCATCATTGCCATGCAAAGATGTTTGGACATTTTTCCATATTTTTTTTTTCACTATTCTGATCCTAGAAAGACACCATATTGTAAACATTCTCTATGCTTCCAAGAATAAAATTATAGAGTACAGCATGATGACTTGGTCTGAAAAAAATACTGCTGAGCTTTTTATTAACTACTACTACCTACTCTGGGGTCCCTTGTGGCATTGAGACAGCAATCACTGGCTTTATCGTGTACACCTTCAAGTAAGACCAGTAAGCATTTGCAGACCAACAGGAACATGAGTAGCGTTTTCAACGGCATTTCCAAGTAGTTATTTTCTTAGCCTATTGTTAGGTGAACGTTGACACAGGTCAGTGGGTCTAACACTAAAAATAGTTATCCATGAATTTATACGGCTACGAAGCAAAAAGTGTAATTTTTTCCCAATCCGAAATCTGAAACGACGAAGCAGAATCATCACTCTTTTGCTACCCAGTGTTTTAAAAGAGTATCTCCACAAAGTGCAACAATAATAAGAATCTGAACTAGCAACAATAAAATTCACAGAACCAAATGAAGCGTGTGCTATCTAAAGGCAGCCTAGCATAAAGTGTCACCTTTATATCCTCCAAAACAATACAGAAGAAAATTCAGGGAGAGAGAGGAGGATCATATAAATCCTACTAACTGCCCAGATTCAAAATACAGCAAAAATAAAACCATTATATATAGAATGGATAAAAAAACAAGGTCCTACCGTATAGCACAGGGAACTACATTCAATATCCTGTGATTAACCATAATGGAAAAGAACGTGAACAAGAATGTATAACTGAATCACTCTGCTGTACAGCAGAAATTGATACAACATTGTAAATCAGCTACACTTCAATAAAATAAATTTTTAAAAAAAGTTAAAACAAAATACAGCAAGAATAGCAAAGGATTTAAGGACTCAGGAGCAGCAGGACGTATAAATGAATGTTGTAGCCGAGAGATCTGGGGAGTCCAGTGTTTTCTGCTACCCGGGTGCCCGTGTGCCTTCCCAGAACAATCTGAATGGTGGTCATTTAGTGTCTATGTGGATGCTTCAAATATATTAAGACCCTGATTATCTCCCAAAGCAGCTCACTCCATTTTCACCACAAGTTGGCCTCCTTGTACATTCCACCCAATGGTCCTAGATTCAACTTCTGGAGTTCCATGGAATAAGTGTCAGCCCTTCTCACATATTTAACACCATGGCCATGCCACTCCCGTTTTTCATCGGTAACTGAAGCCTAATCTTTTGTAGGTAGAGCATGCCCACCCAATTCCCTTCAACCATTTCTCACTCTTCGTGTATTGTTTTTATTTTCCTTCCAGACCAAAGAGTGGTAGCTGTTTTCCATTTTTGTATCTGTGCATTTAGAAGACTGATTCAGTCAGTGATTATCCTTTCAATCTGAGATGTCCGCTTGCAAGCATGACTTTTACAGCCCCTGATCAAATGGTAGCTCTTTAAGACTGTCCATCAATGTTAACCTAAATAATTACCCAAGTGTTGATTCAGTTACTGGCATTCCCAATGGATTTCATTTCTTTCCACAAAGGATGATTCTAAGTTGGAATCACTGAAGGTAACCACGGATTTGAGCACAGCAGAGATTCTCGTACCCTCCTCCTATTTTAGAGTCATCCTATTAAAACCCTCAAGCCTTCTTTGTGGGCAGGCTACGATGCAATTCAAGGTTAGTATTTTGCTTTTGAATTAAAATATATTCAGTTATTAATCTTGAAATTTCTTTTTTTTTCCCTTCTAGACACGTTTAGCTTTTAAAAGAGGATAGAAGAACCTACAACCAATAACCTTTCCATTTTCTTTCCCTCAACTGTAAGTGAAAGACAGTGCAACTGAGTGAAAATTATACAGTAATGAGAATATGTAGATTATAACTGTAACTGGTCTTTGTTTGCTGTACAAGTATAATCATGGGTAAGTTGCTCAAATCCAAAACAGAGAAAATAACATTGGCAGTTACAGAGAGTAAGTTCCAGGTTTATTGCAAGGAGTAGTAGTATGCGTGACAGCTAGTACACAAAGGTACACAATAATTATTGATATTGTTAGGTGTTCCAGCTGAAAATACTTGCATACTACATAAAAATAAGAGTCTACATAGTTCAAGAAAACTTAGAACTCAAGCTACTTTCACTTACAATCCCTTTGCACTCTGTCTCTATTTTGTTTATATCCATTTGATTTTAAATCTTTCTCCTGCAGAATGACAGTAAAATGTTAAATGATCTCTAAGCATGTTTGATAGTTGTTCCAACTAGGTTTTTGGCTTTTAGTCACGCATGTTAGCCAACTTTATTTTCTATAGATCATCTCAAATAATACATCATTTTCCATAAAGGAAGTTGGAAACAATGTTATCCTTGATATTCGAAGGCCTCCCTTGTAAACTATGTATAGTCCAGGTCAAATGAATGACTAAATGATAGGTCCACATCCATGGATCCATCTAATTAGCTTGATTCTCCAGGATCAATTCCATTGCCTGTGGCTGTGGAATAGTATTCCGATCTGAAGAATTAGCTTTGCTTTTCGTGTTTCCTTGACCACAGACAGCATTTCCTAACCCTATTTACTTCTCCCTCAGAAACATTATTTCTGGTCACATAAGAGACAAGGAAAAACACCACAGTGAATGGCCAGCACAAACCCATCAACAGAATAACTCAGAAATAGATGGAGAAACCAATACTGCCTTCTGTATATATGAGGGTCAGGATTTGTCCACTTACAAATATAATAATAATGCAACCAGAAAAAAAGCAGATTCCTTTAACCTACACATCAATTCTAAGGATGGCACCCAGAAAATCCAAACTTCATTAAAGCCCTATTTCCATAAACCTTTTCATCTAGATAAGCAATAAAGTTAAAAGGCAGCCTATGAAAGGTTAGCTTTATCAATATTGATTGTAAACTTTTTTTGCAGTCTTTAAGAATACAGTCATCTTATAGCCACATACAATATGGTTTTAGATATATCTATGCTAAAAGTAGAAGAACTAAAATCTAAAAATTATTCAATAATTATCAGTTGACTGATCCAAGAGTACACTTATTAATTCAACAAATATTTCCTAATCTAGCCCATGCTTGTCACTCTGACAGGTACTGGGGACAGGGTGCTGAATAATTTAGAAGTGGCCCCTGCCCTCATGGAGCTATAAGCGATTCTTGGTGGGATTTTCGTGGAGCGATCAATTTAGTGTGGTGGTTTTAATAGTAAGGACCAGAGACTCATTCCAGCTGGCTCAGGTAAAAGGAGATTTAACAGGAAGAGTTCTGTGATCTACGTTTTGGGCCTGGAGAACTCTCGGGACCTAAGGCCACCCCTTGTGTCTCAGGAGCTGTTCCAGCCTCTCTCCTTCCTCTGTTGGTACCTCTGTCTCTCTCTGGCTTCTGCCCACTCAGAACTATGGCCTGGACACTTCACAGGAGTTCCCAGTACATCCTTTCAGGTTCTGAATCTGCTCCTAACTCCCTCTCTGTCTTAGAATTTCTGAGTTCAGAATGCCAAGATCACCAGATGGTCCAGCTCATCATTTTGAAGCAGACACAGGCCACCCACTGAATGGGCTAGCCTGGGATCAGGTGTCCTCACCCCTGGTCCAATGAGCTATAAAAGAAGAGGGGGAGGCAAGATCATGTGGTCCAAACATGGCTGCCCCTTCCTCGGGCCCCCATAAATCATGGCTCTTATGTGCAGATATCTAAGTTTCATTGTATCTTAGGACAAGGAATATTCAAATTCTGACACAGCTATTTAAATTCTCCAGTGTGACTTTATCACTGGGAATTACTAAATACTTTTAGAAGTGTACTACCTCTTTTGAATCACATAAGCACCATATCACTTTAAATAATCTTACTTTCTGAGGAAAGAACTGATATATTAAGAACACTTTTCAATCACAGTATATAGACTTTAAGGGAAGGGTCTGGGGAGACCTGGATACCAGTTAGGACAAACTTCTTCTCATTTTACAGAGAAGAAAGCGAAGGCTGAAATGGTTAAGTGACTTAGAGAACATCTGGTTAGAGGACTAAAACAGATTTTGAACTCAGAAAACTTATAACAACATTGAACAACTTGATTGAGCATATATTATATATATATATATGTATGTATGTATGTACATATATACACACACAAGCACACACACACAGGGGAGGGGAGCAGAGTTTAGGAACAAATGGGGTGACTTCCTGGAGTTTTCATTTTAAAACAGTGTGTTTATGTGTGTGTGTGTG